AAAAATAAGCCCTTCCTACCCACTTACACTTTACCTTCTCTGAACTGGAAATGAGGCAGTGAGGGCCCTTCTAGGGTGGTCCAAGGACAGCAGAAGCAGATCACACACAAAGAGAGAGATGTTCCCAGAATGTCCTCACCAACACATTTCTTCTGAAAAGCAGGGATATCCTGAGGTTCATTTAATGTTTGTAAAACGCTTGGAGAGCCCCACACAGATGTGCTGCATAAAAGTGCAAAATATATTTTGACTTATTTGGTTGGCACCTTGCCCTGAGATTTTCAAAGCAGAGTACAAAGGCCTAAATCCCATTCATTTTAATGGAAGCTGAAGGCTCCAAATCTTTTATGACAGCTTTGTAACATGCCTATCTACCCCTTTTTGCAAATCTCAGCCATAGTTTGGAAGCTCAGCCAAAGAACATAAGAGCATAAAAAGTGCCATGCTTGGTCAACCCAACGGTCCATCTAGCTCAGTATCCTGTCCCGAACAGTGGCAGAGGCAGATGCTATCAAAGGAGAGTTCTGAACTGGTTAGACCCACTTCATTGTCACTTCCTGCAATTTCACTGGCATCAAAGGTCACGTGACATCACTTCCTGACGTGATACTGCTTCCTGTGAGGTCTATGAATATGGCTCGCCAGCCCACTGGGTGATAAAAAGTACGATCAGGCCCTACATTCAAAAAGGTTGGACACCCCTGAATTAGATGATAGTTTTATGGGATGGTTTGAATCCTGCCTGAGGCAGGAGGCTGGACTAGATGATCTCAAGAGGTCCCTTCCACCCTGACTTCTCCAGGAGCACTGACAGATGTGAAAAAGAAACAACCCCCCCCCCCCCCCCCCCCCGCCAAAAAACAGACTAGATGCAGATGCTTCCACAGCATGATAGCTTGCAAAGAATTTTTTTCCAACTGTTTGAGTTTGTCTAATAAAAGATATCCGATTTACCCAAAGAACCTTGTCTGCCTATGTCCGTAGACCAACACAGCTACAGCCTATACCCACAGAACAAGCCAGCGCTTTACCAGAAGCAGCAGCATGTTAGTTCGACCCAGCTCCATAGCATCTGTACAGATCAGGCGCTCAGCTGGGCTTTTTAGTGTATTTATCTAAAACGGATCCAATCAGCTATTAGATAAAAGCACCAAAGCCCTGCTGAAGTGCCTGATCTGTACAGATGTGGGCAAACCGGGCCCAATTAAGGTGCTGCCCCTGCTGGGGGGATGGAGCGGAAAGGAAAGCACTGGTTTTGCTTTTTCCACATCCATAACCAGCCTCAGGCTCCAAGTAACCCACCCCAATGCCTGGCCCTTAACCAGGGAGGCCGAGAGCTTCTGAACACACACGGGCCCACCACCCCCCTGCAGGACAGGACAGGCCTGTGCCTTCCAAAGCTCCCCTTTGTGGACTTGCTTCCCCCAGCTGAGAATCACTGCTCTGCACGGGCACTGGGGACTGCATCACTAGCTGCAGCGGGTGGGGCCAGTAGACTTGACAGCCAATGGGAAAAAGCAACGTGTAGCAGCTCCTTCCCCTTCCCCAGTTGAGAATCTCTGCTTTGCACCCGGCACTGGAGATTTGGGGGGGAAGGGGGGGGCGGCAAGGGGCTGCAACAGGCAGCGAGCGGGTGGAAGCGACACGTAGCAGCTCCCCCGTGGCCACGCCCCCTCCGCGAGCCGCCCGTGCACTGGGAGCAACGGCCGCGGACCGGTCACGTGACCCAACAGCTCCCCCCACCCCCCAGCTGTTACCTCCGGTGATGAGGAAGTAGGATACCACTACCAGGGCATACACGGTCATGGCCGAGGGCATATGCACCCAGCTCGGCCGCTTCAGCTTGACGTTGGGGCACTCGAGCACCGCGAACGGCACCCGGTACAGCGCCTCCATGCTGCCAGCGGAGAGCTCCGACCCCCGACTGACCCGCCGCGGCCTCCGTCCCACCTCCAACACGAAGGCGGAAGCGGAAGCCAGCTGGGGGGGCGGGTCCTGGCGGGTGAATATACAGGGAGGGGTTGGCCGTGGGCCGGGCGGTCTCAGGTTTTACTGACGTGGCCGGCCTATAGATACCACGCCCACGGGGCGGGGCAATTCCCTGTGCGCAGGCGTGGCGCCAGGTGTGGGACTGCGGCTCGGACCTGCCCCAGAGCAGTTGGGGGCGAACACACACGTATCAGGCGGGACAGATGGGCGTACGGACGCACACATAGTCTGGGGATGGACATGCGCACACAGCCTGGGGACAGATGAACACACACACACACACACACTAGCTTGGCAATGGTCACACAGGTACATGCAGCTGGGGCACAGACATACAGCCTGGAGACACATACAGCAGGAGCTACACGTAGCGGGTACACACCTGCTAGTGTGTGGGAGCAGCACGGGTCTCAATCCAGCCCATGGATTCATCACCATTCATCTGGCCCAGGGGCCAAAAGTGCGAGCACCACTGGTCTAGATGAGTGCTTCTCAACCTTATTTGGCCTCCGTCAGAGAAGGCCATCTCTTAGTTTTCACTTGTTTTTTGACTACAGAAAAATAACAGCAATTTTTTCTGTTGCAAAGGACTCAAAGACCACACCAGGTCAGAATGTTTTTAACACCATGGCAGGGTTGTTGGTTGTAGCTGTTGTATAACCTGCCCAACATCTGATTAACCAGGTACCTGCCTGAACTTACCATTTACACATCCCCTACCCTTTACCCCTCCCTTCCTTCTCTACCCATTGTCTTCCTAACTTCCACGTATTTACTTTTTCACAGACTGCCTATTTTCTACCTTGGAGAACTCATTACTACAGCAGTCTCTCATGCTTACCTTTTGTATTCCTTTGCCCTTATTTCCCCCTTGTTCCTCCTCTCCCCTCCTTTCTCTACCCATTGTTTTCCAAACTTCCACCTATTTAGATTTTCACTGACCTGTCACACCTTTTTAGCTTCTTGCCTACCTCGGAGATCTGAGAACACCAGCAGAGTCTCTCTATGCCTGAAGAAGGGTGTTTGTGCCCCAAAACTTGCGAAGAACTTTGTTCCAGCTACTCAGTTGGTCTTATAAAAGATATCACATCTACCCAAACAACTGCCCTTCCTTTAACACTGTGGGTTTCTGTTTGAACTCTCTAGGTTATCTTGCGAATCATGTTTGCCCACTTAATATTGCTAATATTGCATGGCACCCCACATCACTCTTGAAAGGATCCTGTGGCACCCTGGTTGAGTATTATCAAAAACAATACCATGTAGAATGAAAAGATTCTTCTTCTTCTGTGTATTTAATAATTGTCACAAGTTATTCATCTTCAGCCAAAATAACAGTAAAAGAGAATCTGCTAGAGCTAGAATTAGACCTGTGGTGGAGTACCTTTTGGGTGCTTGCCACTTTAAGGGCTGAAGCAGGCTGCAAGGCAGCCTGCAGGTGACTGCAGAGCCTATCAGGTGGTCATATGACAGCCAGGAGGTCACCTGATTGGAGCAGGGCTGAGCAGCTTCAGCATAAGAGCAGGCCCTGAGGAGCAGAGCTAGCAGTTGTTGGAGGGATGTTGCTGCTGAAGTAGTATTGCCCAGTTGGAGCTCTTCCGCTCTCAGGAACATACTGGAGATCAGGGTTGGAACTATGGGGATGGAGGAGATTCCTAGGGACTCAAAGGGGTCCTAAACCCTGAGGAAATGGCTATGGGCCTAAGCAAGAGCTAGACCAACCTAGGAAGGGGGCTTAGAGAGTGTGGACCTACTGAGGGGCTAGGCCAGCCTTTGAATAGAACTAGTGGTGACTTGGGCCAGGGCTTAGATGAGCCCAATGAAGTAAAGGGCTACAGGGTATAAGCTCCTGGGGGCTCTAGGCAAGCCTGGTATGAGATGTATGGGGGGACTCCTACTGAGTAGGGAGGTCAGCTGCTGCTACACTGATGCCAGGGAATCTTGACTGGTCAAAGCAAGGGAGCCAGGGCTGAAAGCCCAAAGGGCAAGTAAGCCCACCATGACAGGCAGGCCAGGGCCGCAGAGAGCTATTGGCACCCTGACTAGCCTGGAGGTGGGGCCAGAGCCTAAAAGAGGCTGAAGGTCCCTTTGATGGGGGAGACATCGTTGCCAAAAAGAGGCTAGGTGTCAGCTGGCCAACATACTGGTATGATGGAGGCTGAAGCTCAGCCTCCTGATGGGAGACATCCTACAAGGGGCCTGGGAGAGATGGGGTCAGTGACTGAGGACATGTGATGAGATGGAGGCTGCAACAGAGTGCCCAGGAGTGCGTAGCCCAGGGAGAACATGTAGGAGCCCAATGAGGGAATGAAAGACCAGGGCAGGTAGGCCTGCAGTGGTCCTGGGGAATGACCTAAAACTACACCCTTCTGGGGTTGGATGGTGTGGTGGGACTGCCTGGGACAGGGCAGTGTCCAGAAAATACCACACCTAAAACTATTGGGTGCTGGAAAGCCTCAGCCCCCACTGCCTTGCTGGTGACCCGGTGGAGAGGGGAAAGGCTAGGGGAGCACACCCTGACAGAAAAGCACAGGGCCCAGGGTCCAGACATGTTGACAGTCACCTGAGGCCTGAGTGGGCCATAGGCTGAGAGTGAGGTCCAACCATGTCAACAGACACCCGAGGCCCAAGGAGCATAAAGCCCAGAGGCCCCAGTGAGGGGCATGTCTAAGGACACCTGTGGCCAAGTTTGGGCCAGAGGCAGAGTGTGCCCCATCAATGGGGCCAGGGGAGTTATAGTGGAAGTGATTTTTGGATGCCATCTGCAAGGCATGGAACACAGTAGAGGGGAGGTTGGAGCAGTGTATTATGCCTTTGGCATCAGGGCATTAAATGGGCAGCCTCCCGTACCTTTCCATCCAGTTTTAATACATCAAAGCACAGTGGGTGGACTACCCTAGGCAGGTGGGCGGGCCCTGGAGATGACCCCTATCACACATGTCATGTAGCAACCAATTCTTATTACACTCAAATTATTGTTTATCAACTGTCCTGATAAATGCAGTGTAACTTGTTTTAGCACAGCCAAATGAAACTGATAGCAGTAATACAGTCCATAAAGTTAAACAGAAATAATGCAAAGCATTGTTGTGTGTTGCAAATAGTGTAGAACAAAACCACATATAAAACTATTCAAAAGACTACAGAAACTTCTGACTCCATAGCATTCAGAATGAAATCCATATATCATCAGTTTAACTAGATGATAACATCTCCATGTATGTATGTAGCTTCCAGTCTTTTTAGTTGAAGCTTTTCTTTTCAATGGATCTGTATGAACGTATGTCCTAGTATAGCTAACATCTCACTTGTTTTGTTTTCACTCAATTTCTGCCTGTTTTTCTCTCAGCATGTTTTCCTTTCTAGTATTCATTTTTATTTAGTCCATCTTGGCTTTTAAAACTAGATGCGCACTTAATCCTGTTGTATTTGAAAGTGTTTTTGTTTAATCACTGATCAAACTTAAATATTATTTTATAGTGATAAATGTAGCAGTTAGCCTGTAGCTGACTGATACAGCCACAGCGTGGCAGGAGTGTTCTTTAATTGTAGTTATGACCCACTACAGCTTAATGTTGACAAAATGGAAAACCTTTAACATTCTGGATGATGCTCCAGGGGACTGTCATGCTACTTGATCAAAAAAGGAAGATGCAGACCCGAAGAGAGAGAAAATACTAAGAACTAGAAAAGGAAAAGGTGGATTCAGGTCAACAAAAGAGTCACTGGAGGGTTGGATAATAGCCACATCCTGAAAAACATTTCTGCATGAGAGGGAATAAGCTTCTTCAAAGAACTTGAGAGAAACTCGTCTTCCACTTCTAAATTAATTAGAGATCAATAAACCTGAGCTAAATTTTTTAAAGTTGTTTTCCATCTCTTTTCTTAGTTTGCACAGCTCTAGCTCAATGCAATCTAGGTGATAATATATAAATATTTACTTCTAACTGTAACTCAGTGCTTTTTCATGTCTTATGTAAAATGGATGTATTGGATTCATACCAGCTGTTAGAAGACAAATGCTTGAATTAGGGGAAAAATCAAATTGGTAGCAGTGTTTGTTGACGACAAGGAAATAGAACAAGTATTTCACTTGGTAGTAGTTGGTACTTGCCCCACCAATGTTGAAACAAAGCTCACAGTGCCATTGGGGTTAAGGAGGAGACTTCAACCTGCCTATGATTAGTACTATTTGTAGAGCACCACCAGCAGCGTACCAGCTCACTGAAGCTTAGCCATTTTCAGCAGAATAAATTTATATGATTAAGACAGGGCATTTTATGAATAAGGGCCACACAGAAGAAAACAGGAAGACCTTCCAGTGGGATCAGTCAAGAGGCAGTTGATGGCATCATTGGAAGAATGTGATGTAGGAACCCATCAGCAAATTTAGAGGCTTGACCTACTTCTGTCCAGAACCAGTCAAATGGACCTTGATACACTTGATTTGACTTTTCTTTGAAAAAAAAAAATAGGAGGAAAGGAAAAAAACACTGTTTAAGGCAGTGGTTCTTAAGGTTTTTAGCCTTGGGGTACCCCTCCATAATTTTTTGGAATTTAGCAGCACATGGTTGAGAACCACCAAGTTACAATCTAGTTGGTGACAGGGACAGGACTTCATGCCACTTGTGCCTTGCTTTTCCAGCATCTGATCCTTTCCTGGTCTCTACCTGCAGGAGCAAGCTCAGCCCTCACTGCGTAGGTGTTCCTCCAGTGACTGGAGCTACATGCACCGGTGGGTCCACATTGTGGTCCCAGAAGCAGGGGAGAGACAGGTTGGGAAACAAGCCAGGCTGAAAAATGACCCACAGCTCCATATCCAACTGTGTGCTTGCATGGCAGAGCTCACTGCTGGGACTGTGGGGTCTGCTGGGGGGCAGGGAGCAACCTTGGGCACTGCTTGCTTGCAAGATGCTGGGTGCCCGGTGGGAGGAACTATTATTTACCTCTACTTCCTGGGCCAGGCACTATGACACCCATAGAAGGACCTGGTGGTAGCACACCAGTTGAGACTTACTGAAGAAAAACAGACCCACTTAAAACTGTGAAATTGAAACCAGTGTTGCTTCTGGTTCATTATCACTCCTTCAATTAGCAACACAATACAAATAATTTATCTGTTCCCTTGAGATGCATTTGCATTAGTTTCTAGGGGAAATGAATACAAAGACAAATTCCTTACTGGGGCTGTATCTCTTGGATTTTAAAGCAAAAAGATGTGTGAGAAAGCAGCTTCTGTCAGTTGCATGATATTTCCACAACCAGCATCCCCCTAACTTCCACTAGTATCATTATTCAGTAACATGCAAGTTAAAATCTGTTGTTATTCCTGCCAGGCAGTATCAAAATTCTGATGGATAAGAGGATTAGCCCCCAAGAACAGGGCTGGGATCCTATCTTCCAATGCATCTGTAGAGTGCTTCCTGAAGGAGGTTGACACCTTTCAACAGTCATCATTTGACTCCAAAATTGAAACAGTGAAACCTAAGACTGTCAACTGCTTACAGTGTTTAATAGGCTTGCTTTCTGAGCAAAAATACCTTGTCTCTCCAAATAATTGAAACCAGTAACTGAAGACATAGACAGTTAATAAGCCCATCAGACTTCTATACCATCTCAAAATTTAAATTGTAGCTGTCTGCTTTGAGACTTACTTTTGAAAATGCCAAAAAAGAACAAAAAGCCTGACACTTGCCTAATGACTGCTTTTTTAGTTTTGCTAGTAGCAGAGCCATCATAATGAAATTCAGAATTTCATTAGTTTTTGTTGTTCATTCAGATGTCATTTATGTAATTAGTTGTTTTTTCTCTTTTGCCTCCTGCTTGTTTAGCTTGCTATTTTAGGATTAAAGTGGAAAGTGTTACACAAACCAAAATGGAGGATTATAAACATTAACCTTCCATCCCTCACATCATCTTCCCCTCCCTTTGGAAAGCTCTGAAGGAAGACTCTAATATATTTTAATATAATAATGACTGTTGAATCATGTCAAATTGAAAGTACCTATGGGGCAGATTACAACACACCTGCCCTTTCCATTTTAATCTTAAATCAGTTTTTCCAGCCCACTGAAAAGCTACCTTAATACAGCAAAATACTGAATACAAAATTCAACCTTGCAAGTTTATTTTAGTATAATACTTTGGCATTTCAGACAGTTTAGCTCACACCACAGTCCAAGGATATCTTTCGAGTTTACTAGACTAATATATTCATCATATCCCAAGCTAAGCCCTATTAGAGTCATTTCTCTGTATTCCAAGTCAGAGTATGTTTATTCAGTTTCAGTTTTATTATGTACTGTTTCCCATTGCCCTGGAGCTTTGGAAAAAAACATTCCCTCAATAGGTAGTTTCACTTCACTAATATTCAGGCTACTCAAGTGGTATTACAATTTTAACTTTGTTTCTCTGTGAAAAAGTGACCAAGACAGAGTGATCAAGAAACACCCACAAAAGATAAAGAACCCCTTCAAAATAGATGTTTCAGCCATTTTTAAATTTAAAAAATATACACATAATCTTATTTCTCCAGTTAGGTATCTATAAAGGGCTTTTTATGCTTTGAAAAAAGAAAATAAAATGGTTGCCTTTAGCTGAGCATGTTTCCTTTTGACCTGTTGTCATAGTCCATTTTAGACAGAACTGATTTCTAAAAAGCAGGGAAACAAAACTCTTTAAAATGGGGATAATTCTTACCATTCTTGTAAGGCACTTGCAAATTATTTATGCCAGCTACATGGCTAATGATCTTTACATAACAGAACTAGGAAGAGGGAAAAAAAAAAAAAAAAACTCTTATCTTTTTCTCCATAGACTTCACTGATGGATAAACTGGAGCTAGAAGGAAAAGTCCAGATCCAAGAGACCTTCGCATCTGGCGTCCGACACGAGCGTCACAATTCCACATAAATCCAAAACTGAAATCCTGAAAATCCCCATTCAACCATGGGTAACTCTGGAAGAACCTATCCTACATTTTGTCCTTAAATCCCTGGTCTATTGGTTGTGTTTCCTTATTTGCCTAGAACTGCCCCCATCTTAAAAAGGTCATGTAATCCTCAAAGAATCCAGAAAATAAATATTCCATCTCTGCTCAACACCTTGTGCTCTCCTTTTAGGCATAATCTTCCTTCAGTGTTCTTATTTTTTTCCTCTTAGGGAGGATTCTTCTGTTGTTCTGTAACTTCTAGTCACTTAACATGCAGCTGCTGCTTCAGGTTCTTCCAGAGTTACAAAAATGTAACACCCATCCCTTTAGTTCAGTGGGACAAAGCCAAGAGCCCTGCTTAGCAAGACTACTTTTTGTCTGAGCTATTTTCAGATTTGAAGTACAGCTTTAAAGTTGATTCACTCATTACTACCCTGGCAACCCATCTGAACAAGACTAAGCCCAACCTTATTTCTTTTCCTATGCAGAGGGAGAGCATATGTGGGGGCAGGATTAAAGCTGCACGATCCTGATCCATGCAGAGGCCTTTAACAACTTTCACGTTGCAGCAACTGTTGTGAAGACTGGAAAAGACTTGTGACTGAGGACTGACTTAACAAGCTGTTTTTTCATTTAGAAAATTTTGAGGTAAAGATACTTCCAGCTTTGACGAATGTATAAAGTAAGAGAGGACACAAGAAAAGTTGAATTCTCATTTATTAGGTAGACAGTACAAATAGATTCACTTAGATTTCTGGCTCTGTGCTTGTGCCTTCAACACTTTCACAACGATCTTCTGTTCCTCAATAAGAAAAGCTCGTTTGATTCTAGGGAGGGGAAAAAAAAGCCTTCATTAATAGGAAAGCAGACAGTGCGCCTTTGCTATAAAAATGTTAAAAAAATGAGACCTCATATCTAGCTTAATCTTTCTATATCAACTGTTCAATTTAGTGGGAAACTCATGTTATATACTGAAATACAGATTTACGGTCAGAAGTTAATTGTAAGATTTTTTTCAGCAGAATGGGAAGAAAAGTATTAGTAATTTTAGCTAGCTTCTCTTCCATGATGCAAATATTTTCCTCTGTTAAGAAAAATACTAAGCCACAATCATATTTAAAACTTGGTTATTTCTGTATGGCATTACTATGTGGAGGTGTCTAAAAACATTAAATTCTTTAAGTCCCACCAAGCAGATTGTTTGTTGTTCAAGCTCACACCCAAGCACAAACGTTCAATAAAAATGTCAAGTTAAAAATTAAGTACAAAAGTAGATACATGAGAGCATAGTAACAAGTCTCTGCATGTTGAATTAGTTAAGGAGTGTGCAAATGCTACTGATTATATCAAATTTGACTCAAATCCATGTATATTCGTTCTATTTCTATTTGTATAGGTAGCATGTGTGCACACGCACGCATGCATGCACAGTCTTGTACCAAAAACTCTGTCAGTGACGCCTTCCATTTCCAAGAACAGGACCCTTGCCCCTACCCCAATCAACAGGGCTGCGCGAAACAGCACTGTTCCATTTCAACTTGCGTTTCGACAGAACAGCGTTTCATTTTGATACTGCTGTTTCGTTTCATTTCATTGAAAGAGTTTTGCTGTTTTAACTGTTTCATTTTTTTGCCCACAGGCTATAATGGGGAAGCTCAAAACAGCCTATAACTTTGTCATTTCTGGCCTGATTTGGATGATACTTCAAGGAATGGCAGCCCCTTCTGAGGACATGAAGCCTGCCAAGTTTCAAGAAGATAGGTACAGGGGTTTCAGGGAAATTGCACCTCAAATTCCTAAAAGCAAAAAATTCATGTCACGTGTATATGTTAAGCCACAGCAGGGTCAAAACTGCAGAGGTGGTACCCCTGCTGAGGCAACAAAGCCTGCCAAGTTTCAAGGAGATAGGTGCAGGCGTTTGGGGGAAACTGCACCTCAAGCTCCAGACGAGCAAAACTTGTGACATGGGTGACACTGTGCGTTAAGGTGCAGCAGGGTCAAAGCTGCAGGCTTGCTAGGCCCTGCTGAGGCCACAACGCCTGCCAGCTTTCAAGATGGGTGCAGGGGGTTCTGGGGCCCTGCACCTTTGGCTGCTGACAGGCAAAACTCGTGAGATGGATAGGTGACACTGTGTGCGCGCTAAGGTGCACCCTCACTCAACTTGATACCAAGGCAGGAAGCAGGGCAGTTCAAACAATGCTGCCTTTTATGCAGTTTTTCCATCCTTCCCCCAGAGCACTGGGATAGGAAGGGACCTCAGGAAAGGATGACAGTCACTGGCCAGCTACACAGTCAATAATGAGAGCAGTCCTTCCCCCACTCCTTACTTTAGTTTCTGTTTCCCTGCAAGCAAGCTCAGCTTGAGCTTTGAAACGTTTCGACTTGCCTCATTTAATTTCAAGGCTGTTTTGAAACTCTGCTTCGTTTCGATTTTGCTGTTTCAAGCTCGAAATGAGTCAAAACAGTGACAAAAAGAAACTGCAGGAGAAATTTCACACAACCCTACCAATCAAGATCTCTTCTCCTTCAGACCATCTGACTGCCTCAGAGAACTGTTTAGCTTCTTGATAACAACGTATCAATTTTATATTGTTCCTTCCCTACTTAACGAAGAGCGAAACAATTCAGCTCATTACTAGCTTTCCCTTCGTGGGTAAATTAAAACAGTGACAAGTCTTAATTGCAGAAAACCTACTTTCGTGTTTGGACAACTGTAACTAGACTCCACTTTTCCATATTAAATTTCCAAAGTTTCATATTTAAATTAAAGTGCACTTCCAATTACAAGCAAGACTCTTATTCTTTCAGGCACTGATCACACAGGAAAACACAGAATTATTACATAATTTAGCTGTAACAGCAAATATTTCCTGTGTGTAGAGTAAGGGCAGGAGTGGTGGGGGGAAGTGTGACCTATAGATGGTCTACCCAGTGACATTTTTAAAGGGATGGGCACTTTCAGCACTGATATTTTCCTTAAAATAAAGTTACTGTCCTATAACATTAAACTGTGTTTGTAATAAAGCTACAATAAAAAAACCTTAAAACATTTAAGATGAAAAAAACCCAACTTTTTTTTCAACTATTTGGTTGGTCTAATAAAACATCTCACATCTACCCAAAGAACCTTGTCTGCCTATGTCCTTAGACCAACACAGCTATAACCATCAACTCTAAAACATTTACAACGTTCTAGAAGCGTTTAACTGGGCTCCGAGACAAGATTTTTCCATACACTGCACCAGCATTACATCACTGCTGAATTTCACAGCACCACTACGTACCCATTTCAGGAAGAAAAACAAGAGCTGTTGCAGAAAATGTTACGGCACCCAGGCGTGACAAACTTTTAGCCGTACCATATTTTTGGATGACAAGCTGATTGAAAAGAAATTTGCAATATTTAGGGGGTTACATAATGTAATTAAAGTTTACCTGTCACGGACACATTTAGCACACATGGAACCACCATAAGCCCTGCTAACGTGCTTCTTTGTTTTGGACAGTCTCATAAGGACTTTAGGACGTACAGCACGAACCTATATGAGAAGATTGAAATATTATACAGAGCAATTTATAATCCTGTGCTTATTTTACTTATTGGCTATGATAAACTCACATGGAACATTTGTGTGCATCACAAATATTTAATTTTTAAAAATGTTATTGCACCCAAATTTTCAAGATAGGCTTTTACAAGCTACAGTTAAATTGTTTATAGCAGTGGTTTTCAACTTTATTTCATTTCAAGACCCGTGAAACAATTTGAATGGAGGTGAGGACCACTTTGAATTGTAAATGTGGGTATTGGCAGGCAAAGATCTTTAAGTAGATGTGGTATTTTTTATTAGACCAACTGAGTACTTGGAAAAACATGCACCCGAAAGCTTGCTAAGAAGTCACCCTTCTTCAGGTATACGGAGTCTCTGCTGTTCTGAGAAAGAATCTTTGAGTCTCAGAAGAGCAGAGATTCCTATGCCTGAAGAAGGGTGACTGCGCCTGAAGGCTTGCCAAGAACTTTTTTTCCAACTACTCAGTTGGGTCTAATAAAACAGGGTTTCTTAACCAGTGGGATGCAAAGGTCCTCTAGGTGGGACTTGGGTTGTGGCGGCAAAACCGGAAGTGCCAGCAGGACTTCCCGTTTCACTTTTGTGCGCTTTGACTGGCCCCTGGGGAACACCTCCCCTCCCCCCCCCGCCCTCTGACTGGCCTCCGGGCCCGCCCCCCTGCACAGAGGCCCCAATCACCGCTGCTACACCCAGTGAGTGCAGGGTTGGTTTTTTTTTTAAGCTCCGGGACTGGGCTGGGTGAGGGATAGGGCCGGGCAGGGCAGCCATGGGGCTTCTTCTGTGGCTCCCCACCCCACCCAGGGAGAGGCAGTCAAAGCCCGAGGAGCCGTGGGAGAATCTGCAGCTGCCCGGCTGTGCCTGCCTTTCCCTGGCCGATCTGAACCACCGAATCAGCGCTGAATCTTCCAAAGCCAATTCAGCCAAATCAATTCAGGACGGCGATCCAAATCAAATCACTGTTTTCCGAATCGGCTGAGTCAAATACGTCCCTGTTCACACAGGCCTATACAACTATATGGGCCTTTATAGGACAACATGTGAACAATTAGATCAGTTCATTGCTTGTCTATAAAAACAAACAAACAAACAAAAAGAAAAACATTACAGGTATTGAATGAAAAGACAAGCCATTCCTGATTTTTACGGGTGCACCAATAAAGATTTTCTTGACCAATACTAATAGCCGATTATTCACCAAGAATATCAGCCGATACCGATTTAATAACGGATTTACAGGAACATAGCTGGGTAGTGTAGAGAGCAGCTCCCTGCGGGTAAGGAGGGGAGGAAGGGGCGTGGACAGATTGAGGTCCCCATGGTGAAAGAGGGCATAGTGCTTGGGCTGAAGGTGCTGCCCAGCCGGAGTGGTGAACAGGACCCCAGGGCAGGGAGCAGGACTCAGCCACAGGAGGCTCATCCAGGGGATCAGCATGCCTGCACTTAAAGATGGCAGCAGAAGCACTTGAACTAAAGCTCATCAAATGAGCTTTAGTTCAAGCCCTGCTACCACCATTTTTCAGCATCGGGGCACGCTTCAGGAGCGAAGTGGGGCAGAGGTAGGTTGCCTACTGCAGGCTCAGGGCTCCCCGCTCTGGTGCCTTTGCCCTAGGAGCAACACACTGGCTGCCTGTCCCCAGCCTGCCCGGCAGCAGGAGGCATAACTTGCTGCCCTGCACTGCTACTTAGTGGGCAGAGGGCACGTGGCCAGCACATGGCTCCTGAGGCAAAGGCAGCAGGGTGGAGAGCCCCAAGCCCACATTAGCCCTGCACACAAATCTGAGGGGGCAAATGCCCCCCATCTTGGGGGTGGATGCAGTAGCGGGGAGCCACCCCCTCCACCAGCTCCCCTGGACCAGCTGCCCATGGCTCTGTCCTGCTCCCCACCATGGGTCCCATGCACTGCCCTGGCTAGGTAGCATCTCCAGTCCCACTCCCTCCCTTGCTGTGGGGGCCTCAATCTGCATCCACCACAGGCCCTTTCCCCTCTACTCACTTACCTGCATGGTGTGCTGTCTGGCTGCATTCCTGGCCATGTGCATACGTGATGTTATGCGCATGTACCCGATGTCCAGGGGCCCCAGCCAGACAACACATTATACTTATTGGTGATGTTATTGGCTACACAACCCAAAAAAGCCAACAGCCAATAATGTTAGTTTTCCTTTTTACCAACGTACCTCTACTAATTTCACTTCCATTTAGAACACAAGGGAAACAAACCCAACACATTTATACTAGTTTTGATAACCTAAAGTAATACAATAAACAATTGAAGAAATTTACATTTTTTTTTGCATACTTGGGTAGTGTCCTTTTGATATGATCTTGCACATTCAATTATTGAAAACCAAAATCCTTTTTCCAAACAAGCTTCCTTGAAAGGGAATGTGACATGTCACTCAAACACTGATCAGCAATGCTGTCATCATTCAGAAGTGATGGAATCAGAGGGGATGACAGCCACTTAACAAGTTTTAGAGATCAACATCCTTTAAAAACTAAGAGTTAAACCTGCTTTCACAATTCGACATGCCACAAAGCATAGCGAGTAATTTTGTAAGTAACCCCCCAAAAAATTAAATTCACTTTTAACTTGTATATTTTTAATATTGTTCATATAACTGTTATAACTCTTATTAAGAATCTGTGTGATTATCATCTATAGTATCCCTTGGTTATGTAAGTTGACAGGCATTTGCTAATTGCTCATCCTGTTAACTAAGGAGATTCAGACAAGACACAAATAACAGGGATCCTGCGAATATTGGAGGGAGAAAAATAGCATCACTGTCCATCAAATCATTTTGTTTTTAGAAAACTTTTGTGTCATCAATCAACCCACCCCCACCCAGATATAAGAGGTACTGTCTCAATTTAAAGACTGAGTGTGAACAAGGCATTTAACCAAAAACAAAAAGTATATACATCAGCAAGCAAAAAGAGTGGGGAATTCAAATCAGTCTCAGGCTGGTCATGTCATCAGCATTATTTGTTTTTTGTACTAAAAAAAGTTTGTATAAATTAGTGCAATACTTACACCACGAAGCCTTCCTGGGCACACACCACATGCAGACTTGGGTGCTTTGCCAACTTTCTTGGTGTAAAGGTAAACAATCCTGTTACCTGGTGTTCGGGACCTGGGGGGAAAAAAACAAGAATACATGTAATGTATGCAATGACCAAAACTCAAATGAACTGTCCAGAAAGACACTTGATCTTACTTACAGCCTGGTCTTGTTGGAGGCTGTGTTGTAGGATAACCTACGGCGGTAGGTCAGGCGCTGAACCATTTTTTATATCTAAACGAGGAAAGGGAAAAAAATTATTAGACTTACAGGACCTTTTATTTATAAAGCATTACGAAAAAACTGACAGCATTTTAACAGCAAATGCAGCACAGATATGAACTACCAACTCTACACCAACATGAACATCTGAAGAATAAACATGCTTATTGTTCAAGGAGAACTACAAAGAAAACACCTGAATGAAGTCTGTCAGTACTGCCTCCGCTAAATCACTCTCGAACACTTTCCTTGCCTGTAACCACATTCACTGTAACAGTGCCCAGAACTGTTATTAACCTAAGCTACAAGTTTCCTCCACACAAACAGCTCCCCAAAGCAACTTCCTCCATTAGGAAATCCTATTATATCCCCCCTGCCCAGACAACCGCGACACACCGATACAGAGAAATAGGCTGCATTTTGTGGGTGCGCAACCGTTTAAACACACGGAGCTGTCACAGCCCCACCAACACACTATCCTAGCCAGGAGAAAAAAAAATTAAGCTACATGTGAGGTCCATTTTTCTACACTTTTATAGGGAAGGAACTGACATAGCACCTCAGGTGAGCCCACTACAAAACATCTCCCCGCAAGGCCAGGGCTTCTCCCGGCGTCGGGCTGCTCTTTCATGCAACACCGGCGCCAGGGCTCTGCTTCCCGCCTGCCCCCCCAGCACCGCCTCCCACAGCAGGCAGCCAGGCCCTAGCAAACCCCAGCAACCCCAGGCAACGCGGTCCCAGGCCCACCTCGTCGCTCAGCAGGAGCGGAGCCAAGGCGCTGCAGCGCCGCCCCCGTAGCACCCTGCCCGGGAGCCCGCACTAAAGGGCCCGCCCCTCCCCCCGGAGCCCCGTGCGTGCTCCGCACGCACCCCCCGGGGCGCCCGCCCGCGCCAGCCCACGGATGGATGCCGATTTCCGCAGACCCCGCCACGGGCCGAACGCGAACAGCAACCCTACCTGGTGCTGCCGGAAGCGGAAGAAGAAAGAGAAGGGCACAGGTCAACGCTGAAATAGTGACCGGGGTAATCCGGAAGTAGTCTCTGTCTTTGAGGAAGATGTGCGCGCCAGCATGTTGTACGGACACAGGGGCGGGAGCTGATAGGTCACGCGGCAGCGGATGGGCGTGGCTACTGCTGAGTTACTGCTATTGCAGCTCTAGAGCGTAGCCCGCGGGTTCTCTGACGTCTGCCCCCCGCCTCTCCCCTCAGGGGTGCTTAAAGAGGCAGGAGGGGCTGCACAGCTTGCTCTTTGCCTTTGATCCAGTAGTGCTTCTGACTTGGGCAGGGCCAGAGGGAGCTTAACCCCCGTGTAGACAGGATGCAGGGGTAGCATTGCCAACTCTCATGATTTTTGGCTTTGTTAAAGTCTACACTTCAGGAACGTGAAACACTTAGCTCTTTCTTTTATATCTATTTAAAATATTAAAATAGATATAAAAGACAGAGCTATGTTTTTCCATTCCAGAAGCATAGACTTTAATAACAATGCCAAAAACCATGAGTTGGCAATACTGCAGGGGGCAGTCCTGGCCTTGCCCCCTTTGGGCAGGGACAAGGCTTGTGCCCTGGCGCCAGCACAGAACAGGGCTCATGTTAGAACTGAACAACACCAGGAGGGCTCGCAGCCAAGGCCGACCTGTCCTAGCCTGCGAAACCTGCGGCTGCAGGGGGCCTCACAACTAAGGGGCCGCCTGCTCCTGGCCACTCACCACCCCCTCCCTCCCTGCCATTGATGCGGCTGCCACCCGCTTCTTCAGCTGCTCACCACACCCCGCTTCCTCTGCCATCACTGCTGCAGGCTTCTTTGGGGCAGGGGGCCCCAAAAATATTTCTTGCAGGGGGCCCCAAAAAATTGTGGGCTAGCCCTGCTCGCAGCGTTACAGGCACTACTCACACCCCTGGGGGGGATGGGGACGGAAAGAGCCAGTCACTTGTGACTGATGACTGCTAAAGGCCCCAGGGGCCACAGCACTGGGAGAAACAGAAGAGCCAAATGAGCAAGGCTCCCATGGATGCTGAGGTTTGCAGGTCATTTTTGCTCTGGACTGTCACAACCCAATTAATTTGTGCCCATGCCACTGAGCAAGAGATACCATTCAAATCATCTTCATTTGAATATTAAGGGTTAAAAGACTTCCCTGCCAAGAAATTCCTTGAAACAAAACGCTGGTGGTGTACTACAGATAATTGGTCAGCTGAAATAAAATGCTAGGGGAAACTATATATAATTGGTCAAAGATAAGCGTAAGCTCCTCACACGTAGCACACACGTAACAGGTAGAGAAACCTAACCCACTACCTTGTAACTTGAGGAGACAAAGAGCTGCCACCTGCCAAAAAATTAAAGATTCCATATAACGGTTCACGATTGGGCATCTCTGTCAAACACCTCTGCCTATAAATAGTTTAACGGTTTCCGCCCAAGTCAGAGAGCTCTGGGGATCTCACAGGAAACACCTGTGCTTGTCACCAGAGAATTGGGAAATTGATCAATTCCTAATCACTCACCCCGTCAGCGTAAAATATTGACGTAGAAAGTCTTGCAAGCGCGACCGTCCGTTCCCGGCGCCACGTCCGTCATTATCTCGTCGTAACCTAACTGCGTGCGTGTACTCGACTCTGTAACCGAAGTTATATGCGTATACTCGACTCTGTAACCGAAGCTGTAACAGAACAAAGGCTCGCCTGCGTCGTCCATCACTATCTAGGCGATGTAAGTAAACAAACTCCTGTAACCTACACGCGTCTGTGCCTGGTTAATTCCACTCCATCCATCACTACCCGCCTGCCGAGCTCTAAATCTAAACACTCCGGTGTGAGTCAGGCGGCTGCCGGCTGCTGCTCTGATTCACGACATGGACGTGAGCCAATGGCACCGTGATGAAAGCATCCTGGCTTCTCTAAGCCACACAAGTAGAAATGACCCGCTGGTAACAGCAGGGGGGATCTCTTACCCCCAAACTCTGGCATAAGATGCATGCTTTTGAGAGGCAAACCCACCCCACCCAGCCCTTCAGCCTGACGGTGACATGCCACGCAATCCAGTCTTATGGATACGGTACATCCCAGGCTGGTGGATGTTTTTGCGGGCCAAAGACAGTGATTCAAACTCCATGGAACACAGTGTGGCTCTCTGCACCTGCACAGACTTCCAGTTAAAGTCCAGACTCATGGTTCTCTTATGGACCCATTCTTTGGTTCAGAAATGCCACTTGTCTTAACTGCCCTGTGATTCAGAGACAACAACATGACTACGACCTGCAGCACTGCCTCCTGGTTTTGGCCCAGCCATTTGGCACAGCACAGCAGGATCCAAGAGAGGAAGATGTCCATTTGCACACAGTCCAATCCTGTTGATCAGAGATGCCTTAAAGGCTGAGTCATGGGGTCACCCCAACAATATTAGGATGATAAGCCTTAAAATGACACTTGGCACAAAGAGCTACATTGTTAAAGCACCTTGCACACATGCCAAACACTCTTACACCATCTTAAGGCTACTGTACAAATATGTGGAATGACAATAATAATGCACACCATCCAAACTAAAGGAACTGGAAAGCCTAAACTTTTCTTTGTGGCTGCTTCTTGATTTGCCAGCCCCTCCAAATCAACCCAGTTGGACTCTTCGTCCCTTTCAGGGAAACAAATGGTATCTGACTGTTATGTTATTTTACAGCAGGAAAAGAGCTGACTTATCACAGGCCTTACCTGATTTCTGGCAGCAGTGTGCCTCTGTATATCCAGAGCTGTCTTCTAGCAGCTGTCTCTTTCCTTCTTCTCTAATCTATTTGATCTAATCTATTTGTCATCAAATAGGGTTAGGGCTGCTGACCTACTGCACTGATAGTATTCATTATGCCCATAATCCTAAGATTTGGAAGCCTCTCTGCTTGAGTCTCAGGCCAAAGGCTTGGTGATCCCTACATATCCCTACATATGGAATTCAGGGACATGTTTCCTCAGAAGCCTGAATATACTGTTCTCTTAGCACCCAGGCATCAAAAGGTGAGGTGTTTTGGACACAGAGGGAAAGAAATGAAAACCTAATGCACAAACAGATAAACTATGCATTACTTGCTATACTTTTTAATGGGACAAGCCTGACAAAGAACCTCAAAGAGCATCTAATCTTTCTTGCAGAGACTGTGTGTGTGAAATCCTGGTTCCACTGAAGTCAATGTGGGCTTTTCAACTGGCCTCTGCAGAGGCAGAATTTAGTATGACAGGACCATAGGGTTGGCCTAGACCTCACAGATCACCTAGTCCAATTCCCTCCACTAACCTCCTCATGATTCCTAAACCATACTAGATAGAAGCCTAATTACTCAGCCTCTTCTACAAAACCTCCAGTGAAAAAGAGTCCATAGTCTCTACAGTGTTACTCCATATTTTTTGTAACAACATTTCTAAGATCCTGAAAACTCTTTGTGATCAGGGCCAGATGACATAACTGTCTGAGAAGTGGCACAGCTACCACCTTCAGGATGCAGGACACTTGGTTTAAAAATAATTACCTTTTTGAACAAGGCTGTATTCCCTTTTGCACAGGGCACAAGGACACGAAGGTCCCAGCAGTTTACACTGACCCACCAAACTTGGGAGTGAGAAATCTTAAGTTTCTTGAACCTGCCACACCAGATTCTCATACATGTGTTACCCATTTCTCTGCCCATAATTCCTGATTTACACATTTCTTCAACAAGAGCCTCTTTTGCCATCCAAAATTCAGCAGTGATATGAGCTCTGTTCCAATGGTAATGAGCTCCAATATTTCTCAAAAGAGCTTCTCAGCAGTGTATAGGCACGCCAGGGCCCTGTTTTGGGCCCATTCTTCAATCCAAATCCTGGGAGTGTCAATGAAAATGAATGGCTCAGTCTGGACAACATACGGCTGAGCAGGACATGAGGTTTGGTCCATTTCCCCCAACAAAGGATAAAACTTGAGAAAGGCCAAAGGGCCCTGCAATCTTAGCCCACTGGTCAACCTGCTGGCCTCTCAGGGGCCCTCAGGGCTGTGTGCCCAATTTTCTTTTTATTTTGAGCCAGCCAAGTCCATTTGGGATAAGGAGTCTGAGAGAAACAATACTCCCCACATCTTACCTTCTCGGTAGGCATTGCACCTAGGAAGTGAAAGGTGTGAGATCAAAGCTGCTTATAGTCTCCTCTTCCTGGGCAGAGGGCACTTCCGGGCAGCAGCCAAATTTTCTTTTTGTTATTTTAGGTTGGCAGAGCCCCCATTTGGCTCATGCCATGTAGGGAATGCAAAAGCATTGACTGCCCAGCTGGGGTGCTGGGTTGCTCTGGGCTTGGGAGTTGTTGCTGGGAGATGGACGGGCATGATTCAGGCAGCTCGCAGCCTTCTCTGGTTGGCCAGAGATGCTTGTTCTTGGGCTGCCCCACCCCCCCACTCAAGCCTGCCTGACTCCACCTAACCAGTGTCAGGGTCCTGGGATTCAAAGTTTCATGGCCCATGCTGTGCCAGGCACCTGATTCTGCCCCACGCTTCAAATCCAAGCACTGAGAGTGTCTATGAGGAAAGGTGACTGGGGCTGGACAAAATGTGTCTGGGGTACCAAGCAGTGCCCAATTCCCAACCCATTTCCCTGCAAGACTGGCTGCCCAACAAGAGGCAGAGCCTGAAGCAGACCAGAGATTGGATGTTGGACCTGGGATATGCAGGGTGTGAGTTCAGGACTTCACAGCCTTCTCTCACTGTGCAGGGAGCACTTCTCAGCAGCCACCCCTTTTTTTTGGGGGGGGGGGGGCAGGGGAAAAGCAGACTGAGCAGACTGAGACCTTCTTCTGGCCACACCGCATAAGGAATTCAGGAGAAATGATCACCCATCCTACCTGATTGGTAGCTCCAGGGCTGGACATTAGACCTGTCAGTAGAAGTTTGTCAACAGTCCCTGTTAAGCTCCACTTACCTTACCATGTTAGATCATAAACATAAAAGTGAAGAATCTGATGCATCAGGGCCTGGATGACCTCCTAATGAGCTACATCCTTATCTGAACTTT